CGCGGTATGAATCTTTTAGCAGCCTTAAAGCAGCATGTGACCCGATATAACCAGCACCACCAGTGACTAACACATGAGTCACTCCTTCCTCTCGTTGAGAAAACTGAAAGCAAACGAACCGCAGAAAAACATTAACAAAATGTAAAAGTTATATAAGGTTTTTGCGTATGAGTTGATGGAGATACCACGCTTGGGGATGTGAAACTTGAAGCTTGATTGATCACAATAATGGCTAAGATTACAAGTGAAACTAGTAAGAGAAGCTTTCCCATCAGATTGCTCTTTGTTTTGGGTTCTAAGTAATCCATATCTGCATTTGTTTTTTTTTTTTAAACTAAGAGATCAGAATCCAAAGTTCCTCTTTCTCAGAAACATGATATGATCTAAAGAAAGTTTTGTTTGAGTAATAATCTCTCTTACCTCCTAGAGGCAAAGTTCTTGTGTTTCTTCGTTGACTTCTGACTCCAGACAAACTTAGCATTGAAAGACTTCAAAATGTTCTGTTTCTCAAACAGAGACTTGAGACCAAAAACAAGAAAAAATCCCAATAATCAGTAGCTTGCAACCATGAAGTTTATGTTGCTGGAGATTGCTGCAAAACAAAGGAACCAGTAAAAAATATTATTAAAATTGATTATAAACAGAAGAATACAGGTCAAAGCTACCAAATTCTGCAAACACTTATATAATTATATGCATGGAAAAAAAAGAGAGAAAGACCAAAACATATGTTGGAAGTGGGACCTGAAGCATAAAAGATGAAACAAACCAGAAAAAGTTTAGATTTATTAAAGTTTCATATAAAATAAGAATATTTGACTATTTGTAATGCTCATCTATATATCTTCTAATCATACTTTAGTCAGAAAAAGTAGCATAGAAAGAAGAACCAGAGTTAAAACCAAAAAGAAAAAAGAGGAATAAAGAGTTAAAAAAACTGTAAGATTAAGTCATCAAAATTGACTAAAACTCCGATCAGTTTCAACTTTCAACAAATAATATTATGGTCCGAATTCGATTCCGATCTCGATTTAATATAAAAGAAAAATCAGAGAAAAATGGTCTTAATCAGTAAGACAGAGTGAAAACCAAAAATAGATGATTAGTGATGGTGATCATCTAAATCAGCCTGATGATTCCCCAGAGACGAAACGGATTATTAACATATAATGTTGTCAGAAGATTACAGAGAGAGAGAGAGAGAGAAAGAGAGAGATTTGTGCACCTGATGATTGTGAGAAGACAAGAAACAGAGGAAGGCGTTTAAAGATGGTTAAAAATTAAAATCATAAAATGCGAAACGCGCGATGTTTTGTTAACGTAGTGTGAGAGAAACTCGTGAGGAGAAAACGTAATAGAGAGAAAGAGAACCAGAGAGAGAGAGAGAGAGAGGAAGAAGACGAAGAAGCTTAGAGAGGAAACGTGAATTGCAAAACGAGAGCACGACTATGACCTAGTCGCGACTCTCTTTCTCTATCGCGTCGGTTATGTGTTTTTAATATATCAATATATTTGGTAATTTAGTTTCAAAGTGGAAATAATTTTTAATATTTATCTCCATTTTTGAAAAACATTTTTTTCTATTAACTTAAGGTCTATCTCCTTTTCTTTATCGGTGTTTACTAATTTTTAATAGTTATTTCCTTACATATGCAATTTTTTTTTGTAATCAAACTCCATTTTGGGCTGTATCTTTTTTTTTGGGTACAATTATTAAGTAATTATCATCTAATATGGAAGCATTGAGGCAAAGTGGAAATATTTTCGTTGACTTCAAAACATGACACTGTTAGGTTTTTATTTCATAAATGTGGAAGTAACTTTTAACAAAAAAGCTCCTAGGATTCAACTTTTTAGAATCTACTTATTTTAAATTAGTTATTAAGAAAAAAGCAGTATTTCATTTAATAAAAGGGGAAAAATAGGAAACACTAAAAGAAAGAGAGAATCTTATGTGTTGTTTATTATTATCATGATATAATAATTCTAACAAGAATAATGGCGATGTTTGCAACATGTAATTTTTTATAGTATATATCATTTCCAACGTAATAACATACGTTACATCTAAATATCTAATTAAGGATATGTGGGTTTACAATCCGATATATATTTAATGTTCTTAAAAAACAATTGCTTTTTTTCTGTTCTTGTCGCAATATAGTACCAACTCAAATGGTTTCTTGTGTAGGTTACTAGGTTACCTAACCTAATTTTAAAGGCCGATTATTTAGAATTTAGAAGCCAATGTAGACGACTAACTACCCTATTGTTTAATCAAAGTCAAACAAGAATTATGAACCTTTTCTTGGAAATTTTTAAAATAGTTTAACTACAAGTGAAATATAAAATATATGTAATACAAATAATTGATGATAAAATTAGTTGTAGTGACTGCCCAACTATCTAACGTGTTTAGCCATCGCGGTCAAATCAAATGATTTGATCCTACATTTTGCATTTTCTTGTCAACTATTTTTTGCATTTACTTAACAATTTCACATATATACGTGACTACTAATTTAGATTCAAGTAAAATGTAAACGTATATTCTATTCTTTTAGTGGTAATAAAAACAAATTCTTATCTTTTTACGCTATCAAATGAAAAACAATTCTATTATAGAGTAAAGTTTTTCTTACCTACGGGTCATTCACCTAACTAACAAACTCATGAATATTACATATATTGAAAAAAACGAAAATACAAAGCCCCCTTACTTGCTCTTTAATTGATAAACAAAGAAAATAAATAAAATAAACTTTTCGTCAGTCACCTAATTTTGTTATTAATTACTCTTCCACTCTTTTTACAATTCGAAGCGAACGAAAAGAGGCATGCCAATGTTATAATAAGTCTTACATAACTTAGTTCTTACTTAGGTACTTGTTAGGTAATGCTTAGTAAAACGGTTATCAATTCGTCAATTGCTTCCAATAGCTCGTACCATATTTTAAAATTGTCGTGATTATTGTTTACTTTTTAAAATATGAATAGTTCTTTAGTTATATAGTTAGATCAATCATTATATTGGACCAAAATCGTTATCAATTAACCAAATGCAAAAGGGAAAAAAATATCTAGAAAATTCGGATAAAAAAAATCAGACGTCGAACACAGTTCCAACTATACAAACTTACAAACCCACCATTCTCGGTTGTTTGTTTGACTACAAGAAGTAAGATAAAGTTAAATAAATTCCAAAATTTACAAACTTGCTTTATAAAGATATTTTTAAGACATTTAAAACTCTTTAATAAAAAAAGATATACCTAAAATACATAAAAGATATATCATATTTTTAGGAGATATAATTAAATTATAGCAAATGCAAAACTCACTTATTATTATTTTAACGATTCAAAACTTTAGTTAGAGGAAAATAAGGAAAACGAGGAAACATAAAATAAACAGAAAATCATAGTTTGCATAAAAGGCTAAAAACAAAGAAATTTAAAGGGCAAAAGAGACTTGGCGTTGGCTCATGGTTCGATTTTGGATGTAGGAGAACAAAAAAAGTGATACAGCTTAAAACTCACATTTATATTGACCAAAACGACGCATGTTAGTATACAAAGATCGAGAGGAAGAAAGCTATAGAGAACGGAAAAGTGTTTCTGTTATTCAACTGAATTGTGTTTACATGATTCATATGGTTTTCTTTAACAAAAAAATGATTCATATGGTTTTGTATATGAACCAAATTACATCCGGTTCAATCCTGTTACATATAATATCTGATTTACTTTAATAGGCCATAAGAGATTTGAACTGAGTAGGAAATACCGGCTTCGTGAATACATCGGTCAGCTGCAAATCCGTTTTGACATGAAACAATTTGATTAAACCACTGTCTACTCGATCACAAACCATATGACAATCTAACTCAATGTGTTTCGTCCGTTCGTGAAACACAGAATTTGAAACGATATGAATTGCCGCTGTAGAATCACAGTAAAATGCAATGGAGTGTGACTGAGAAGCATCAAACTCATGAAGCAAATGAACTAACCATTCAACCTCCCTAACGGCAAACTCCACAGCCCTATACCAGCTCTCGTGATGTTGGCTCTTCGCTCTTCCATAATTGGTTCACAACAAGTGGGCTTGTTTGCTAGCTTTGGATACTTTACTATTTCTGACCCCTTCTTTATAAACAATGTCTCTGGCAGGTGTAGAGCGAAAGGAGTTTTATCCGATGTCCTCATGCCTTTCTCTGTACCAGGTAAAGCAAGCCTTAAACTATAAAACAAGTAAATGTTACTAGATTTTCTGTACTAATTCGGAGCTACTTGTGATTGGCCACTTCCATTTACTGAGTTATATTTTGAATAAAGGGTTCTCTCGTAATGGTACGAAGGGATTAGGGAACATGTTGTAGCACCTTGCAAACACATTACCAAAATTGTCATCATCCCCCTCTCATTGGACATATATTGCAATTAGTTTGTTCTTTGCCTAAAACACCTGAAATCAAATAGTCAAGTAGATTAAAAAAATCTCATATGGATCATATGTTCTGCCGGTTTTTTCATGCATAAATATGTGTATAATTTCTTATACATACCTTCACAAAAGTAATTATTTGGTAATACAACTATACCTTTGAGATAATATTGCGTTAAACTAATTAATATAGGTATATTAAAATGAGCTATAAAAATACAAGTTAGTTATAAACATCCTGAGAGGTAATACAATGTTTTTTTGGTCAAGTTTGCATAAACGTGGTCATGGATACTTTTGAATGGATTCAAGCACATGATAGCTAGTTAAACCAAACCCAAGAGTGCTTACATTTCTAGAAAATGCAATTGAAGTGCATCTATGAGCGTGGCTGAAGAGGTACCCATCCAAGTCTAACGGCTAATGCGCCCAACATTTGTATCAACTTGACAATAATTCACTTCACAGAAAAAAAAATCTCTGCTTACTTCGTTTATTAAGATTCCAATTGGTGTCGTATTCTTCTCTTGCTATACCTCTTTGAGAAACTTAAAATAGGTTTTTTATTAAATGCATCTCTTCTCTAAACAGTTTTCTAAATTTAGAAAATAGAAATCCTAACTGGAATCATCCTCATCATCAGAGTAGGTATCAGATTCTAACACGAGGTGACATGAATTTGAAGCCTTGACCACACTAGCCAACTCATTGAGCATCTCACGTCTCTTTTCCAGCTTCTCAAGCTTTTTGCATTCGATGAAATCTGTGGAAAGAGTTGCTTTCTTCAGCCGTCTTGCGTTCTTAAGGATTTATGTAGCCACTTCTTTGTCAGCTTCTCGTTGCCATTGGTATCTTGTCCACACAAATGTCTCAAGATGATACAACAAACATTCCGGTACACATTTCGGTTGATTCCACTTGTGGCAATCTTTAAAACCATACCACCATGACTGAGATCAATGAAATTAACGTAAAATGTTCAGATCATCAAAAAGTATCTCAAAGCAGAGAGCATTGGAAAGAGAAAAGTAGTTTGACTAATGAAATGGCTTACAATTAGCTTGAGGACTTGTTATTTAGGAGAAGCATCAAGCATGTGCAAAAGTAGACTCCACCACTCTTTTTCATTTCTACTCATCAGTTCCAGTTCCAAAGATAGAAGCTGATAGAAGATTTTACCAGTAGGATGCTTAATCTGTATACAAAACAATGTAAGTCCAATTGCAAACCCGTGAAAATTCTTAAGATCTTGAAATTACCTTTAAGGGTGATATGTGTAAGCAAAGACGTTTGGCTGAAGTTATGGATTCGAGAATGTTCTCATTGACTAGATCAGAAACGTCTTTGATTTTTGCCTCCACCAACTCTGGCGCATTCTCAATCAGAAGAAACTCAAGACCAGCGAACCCTGACCCATCAATGTTCAAGTACTTCAAAGAAGGTGTATTTATCACATACCCTCCTTGCCCTTCTACTGCTTGGTCATCATATATGGTTAGCATCTGTAACGATGGCACCGCAATAGTGAAAGTCTCCACATCGAGATTGGTTGTTCGATTCACGACCAAATCTTCAAGAACAGGGCAGCCACTGAAAAGGTTGCAAACAGATGCTTCGTCTCTGAATTGCATATAGTAGAGGTGCAGCTTCCTAAGAGAAAGAAAACAAACCCGAGTAGGAAAGTCTACAAGAATGCAATCCTTGAGTTTCAAGATCTCGAGTATATCATTCCAGCTACATAAAAGACTTGGAAACGTGACCTCTAAGTCAATATCAAGTACCAATCTACGCACATGGCGAGCAAATGCAATCCCAATCCATATTCCAATATCGGAAGCATCAGATTCATCACTGATTGTTAGATGCAAACTCTCCAAAAACGGAGATTTGTGTGAGATAAGAGACCTGTAAACATTCCCTGAAAATGTATGATGATCTTCAGAATCAAACTTGAGCCTTGGCACCATCTTCCAAAGAGACCTCCAACGTTTAGACAAAACACTCGTGGCTATGACATTTTTTGTTGCAAGTGAAGATAGTATCTGCAGAAGCAAAACTTCAGGCAATTCGCTGATTCTGTCCTCATTTACAAGGTTTTGATTTCTCCGATTGTTACCACCGATTTTGCTGTCGAGAATTAGGGAAAAAAAAAACAACCATAACGAATTTTTAGGGTTCAAAGAAGAGTAGAAGACCATAGAAAGGGATTCCAAGCAAAACATAAACCAAGTAAAGAAGCGTACCATTTTTGTTCCATCTTTCATGTTCCAATCGCAATCGCAAAGGCAGCCTAATACAGATGCTTATGGTGAAGACTTGGGTTTGTCGGAAAAAATAATAATAATAAAGAGAATAGCAGGTGACTATTCAGCTTCAATTGTGCTTTAATGGTTTTTGATATACAATAGAATCTCTATAAATTAATAATATTAATATTTTATTAATTTATAATTTTTTTTATAAATTGATAATTATGGATTTCGAAACCAAATACCATATAAAAAATTCATCAAATTCAAAAATATTATAATAATGAATTATTAAAACTGTATGTAAATATATAATTTTAGCAAAAATTATTAAAAACTGTATGTAAATATATAATTTTAATAAATTTTAAAACTGTAAGTATATATAAATTATTATTTTATTGTCAAATAAGTTAATTTAGTGTAATATTAATAAATAATATATTTTTAATTTTTATTTTAATATAAATCCAAAATTTTAAATTTAAATTTAGATTTATTATTGATTTATTTAAATATATATTATATTATTTATCAAAAATCATCAAATAAGTTATCATTATATCTTTACAAAATAATAAACTGAATCTTAATTTAAAATTTAATTTAAATAATTAAATTTAAATAATATTTCTACTACAAAGATAATACATTATTATATATTTTTTATTAAAAGCCATGGTCGTTTGTTCATCTGGATGATCCATTCAGATGATCAAGTCAACTGATCTTCGTTTATGGCATAAAATCATCATCATTTGGATGAATCAACCAACTGGATCATTTAAAGCTATGATCCAATTTTTAATATTAGCTAGCTGATCTGAATTGAACCAACTGAATGAACCAACTGAATGAACCAGCTTTAATCGAAACTTAATAATGACTAAAATACCTTTGAGAAAATAAAAAAATTACAAGAGAAAAACTAAAACCTAAATCTGCTTCTCCTCTCTTCTGCGACTCCTCCATTTCTCCGATTGTTCTTCCTTCGAGCTTTATTTCTCCAGCGAGACAACTCCATTCTCCAGCGTCTTCTTGGCTGCAAGACATCTCCATTCGCCAGCGTCTTCTCGGACTCCTCTCTTGTCCAACACGAGCTCACTCAGTCGACTCGTCTCTCTTTCTCTGAAGAAGCTTCGATCTCTCTCTCATGTTATTCCAAGCTCAAGCTTTGCTTTTTCCGATGATTCTTGTTTTCTCTCTCCGCTGAGATAATATATTTCTAGGTTTGGTTTAGAATTCTAATTTTTCTTCTCTAAACTACAAAACAGCTTTGAACATCATTGAGATTAGCTGCGTTTGTGATTTGCTAGTTAGTGATAACTTCGCTGTTAGCTTCGTTTGCTGTGTCATAGAGGATAATTTATGCTTGCTACTTGTTCTGCTCGCTTCTTGTTGTGTTTTGATTCTCTCTTTATATGGTTTCTGATATTGACTTAGAATTTGATAGTGAATTGAAGATTAGTTTAGATTGTTTATGTTGTGATCTTTGGATCTTTAAGTATCATTGACATGGTCACTAAGCTAGATGGAACATTCAATTAATCGGTTTGATGTCTTTGTAGTGAAGATTTAAGCTTTTTTCTCCTTCCAGCAATGGTAGATATTATGCTGCATCATTCAGTCATGATGACATTGTTGAATGCATTAAAACATCTACAACCGTATTGATTAATAGTATGTGGTAGAAAGTCTGAGACTTTCAGGTTTGGTTACCATCTGGTCGGTCTAGTTGTACTCAAAACTGTTTTTTACCAACATCAGTGTATGTGATCTAATTTTTTTTGAATCTTGAATCGTTGTTGATGTGAGAAGTGGTTTTTGTTGTTTGAGATGAACATAAAGTCATGTTAGGGATTGGTAAAAAGTACATAGACTTAAACGGATCAAATCAATGTTATGGCTGATGGTTAACGAAGTTTGTTTGAGGTCTTGGGTCCCATTATAACAATAAATATGATCAGGTTATAGTAAGAAAAAAGATGTATATTAACACCAGAATGTCTTCTTAACATGCTTTTCTGTGATGAGTGATTGTGGATGAATGGTGCATTTTGGATATTTTTCTTTGAACTAAACACATTTTCTCTCTTTCTAGAGCTCCTTTGGCAATTGTGTTTGGCACTTAAGCGAGAAAGTTATAGCTAATAATTGACCCTTTCTTTTGGTTTCGTGGTGATGCAGAACTTTATTACACATTTCAGCGACTTATAACTCGCCTGCATCGGGTTTGCTGAGCAATTACAAAATCCAGGTTTTTGCCTCTTCTTGTTCTCGTGATTCAAGGGTCTTTAATGTACACTTGTAGCTTTGATAATTTGTTCATCTTTCTGATGCCATTAGCGAGTAGCTTAATGAGGAAAACCTTATAAAGTAGTTGTTAGTTTAATGAGAAAAACCTTAAAGTAGTTTTTTTTTATTATTTGTGTGGTGAGAGTGTTAAATTGGTTTTGTGGTAGCATCAGTTAATTCTGATGTTGCTTCTTGTAGATAGTTTCTGAGCTTCCCACACGTCCCTCTTGTGTCTTCACTTTTCACCACTTCCTTTTTACCACACGTCCATCTTGTGTCTTGCCAGTTAGTGATAACATCGGTTAATTCTGATGTTGCTTCTTGTAGATAGTTTCTGAGTTTTCCACACGTCCCTTTTGTGTCTTTACTTGTAGATAGTTGCTGCATCTTTGTATGTTTGTATGTTTGTATCTTTGTATCTGAGCTTGCTTTGTATGTTTTCTGAGATTGTATATGAGCTTGCTTTGTATGTTTTCTTAATATTTTTTGTTCCTGATTGGTTTTCCCGTATGTGTTTTACGGATGTGTCTTACTATAATGTTCACTCTTCCTTCTTGTAGATAGTTGCTGGCACTTCTTCACAGACACAATGTCATCTATCTGTAATTCTGATGTGAGTATCTTTCCCTCTAAACTCATATATTACTGTTTCAATGTATTTGATTTTTTAGAACCAAGAGTTTCAAACTATTATAAGGTGAAATTATTTTCTTCTGTGTTGTGTGTTTGTTGTTTGGTATAAGAATCTTGTGTTTGTTGTTTGGTCTAAGAATCTTGTGTTTACTGTCTGGTCTAAGAATCTTGTGTTTGTTCCTAGGTCTAAAAATCTTGTGTGGAGTGATGAACAAACTGTGCACGAAGCTGCAAGACAGAAAATTATAGAGAAATTGAGTGAGAGATTTGGGGAAAGACATCCATGGAGGAAATTCAAGATCAAGTTTTCTACTTGCAAGAAACAGTATGAATCTTTCAGAAGACTGACTCACAACAGAACTGGACTTGGATATGATTCTAATAGATACATAGAAATATCTGATGACTGGTAGAATGAGCGAACTAAAGTATACATATGTTCATTTCACTTGTTTTTTTTTCTTTTTTTTCTGAGTATTCAAATGGATTGTTGCTTATACTCACTGCCTTATATCTTTTTATGATTTCAGGAATGGTCGAGAGCTAAGAAACTAAAAAAAAAACCAGTTGCAAACATGGATTTGATGGAACAAGTCTTTGGGGCAATTCATGTTAGTGGGGTCGAAGGTTGGAGTGCTCAGCAATGTAAAGAACATATAGACACATTACATTTTGATCAAGATGTTGAGGCTGATGCTGAGGCTGATTCTGAATCAAGGTGAATCCCTCTTACTCAAGATGTTGATGCTGATGCTGAATCAAGGCAAATTCCTCCTACTCAGGGCAATAATAGCAATGGACCTTCATTTTCTAATATTGGTGATGGTCTCTCATCTAGTAAGCGGAGGACTAATAAAAAAAAAAAAGAGGGTTGTACAAGTAGGACAAGCTGTTGCAGATATGATTAGGGAGAGTGTTCAGTCGCATGATAAGATTCTTTCATACAAGAATCACCTAATTGAGAGCCATCCCGAATTTCCTTGTAGTCAGCGTTGAGCTATGGAGATTCTACATTTGCTGTCTGCTATAAGCATGTGGTCTCCTTTGTATAAGGCAGCAATTCAATATCTGAAACAAGATATTGCCAACCGTCAGACATTCTTGTTTTATGAAGATGATGAGAACAAGGTTCTCTATTTGGAGTTTGCAACAAGTGAAAACAGGAATGCATGAGGATGATTTATGCTTATTATGAACTATGTTTCTTATGAACTCTAGTATCTAGTGTCTTTTAATGTTTCTTATGAACTCTAGTACCTAGTGTCTTTCAATGTTTCTTTTGAACTCTAGTATCTTATTTTGTGTAGGAGAAACAGGTTTATTTTAAGTGTATGAGAATGAATTATCTTATCTTTTTATTTTTTACTAGTTATCAGTTATAATTCTTATTTTTTGAATGAGTGAATATGAATGAATTATCTTATCTTGTATTCTTTGTTGCAGAATGGACTAAGCTTGCAACTGTAAAGAAGATCCTCAGACAAGATGAACAGTAAGGTAATAGTTTTTCTTGGAATATTTAGAACACAACAAGAAAAAGCCTATGCATGCATTTTCATATCTGTCGTATCCGGTATCCTGGTATCCGTCTCTTGCTCAGTGTTTGTGTAGTTCTAGTTTGTAACATTATCTGTCTCTTGAAGATGATGACATGGTATCTGTCTAGTTCTAGTTCTACGTAGTTCTAGTTCTAGTTCTACGTAGTTCTAGTTCTAGTGTTTGCGTAGAAATCGATTCGACACAATAGAGAACAAAGAAATGTAACATTTATCTGTCTAGTTCTACGAAGTTCTAGTTCTAGACAGATACAGTTTGTAACATTTAGGAATAATGGTACAAGCTTAAAGAGAACAAAGAAATGCAAATTTTTGATTTGCTTCAGTGTTTGTGTAGTTCTAGTTCTACGTAGCTTGCAAAAGGTATCCTGGTATCTGTCTCTTGCTTTAGTGTTTGCGTAGTTCTAGCTTGTAACATTATTATCTCTCGTTCGATGAAGAGCTGCTAAAAGTATTTCGTTTTCTATTCTGGTTTTGCAGGAAACATTTAGATTCTTAATTGAAGATGATGACATGGAATTGGTTCTTGAGGAGGAGAAACACATGTATGCTCTTATAGAAGACATGTAAGGAGTGGAGGAAAGAAAAGTTGAGAGACAAATGGTGAACACAAAACGAGGAGAAGGTTGGCAACGTGTGCAGCGATTGATTTTTGAGTCTAAGCTACAATGTTTTGATAGTCTACGCATGCACCAGTCAAGATTTAGGAGTTTGTGTAAGAGGCTATCTGAGCAGTATAAGTTAGAGGAATCTTGTCATATTTATATTGAAGAGAGTGTTGCAATGTTCATAGAAATGGTTACACAAGATCTAACTGTACGAGCCTTATCTGAGCGGTATCAACATTTACTATACTCAGTAAAAAGGAAGCTAGATGATGTTTTAAGTGCTCTTTTAAAACTCGCAGCAGATATAGTGAAACCCGCAAGGGATGAGTTTGCAAGTGCTGATCCTTTTCTAGTAGATTATGACCGGTATATGCCTTATTTTGAGGATTGCATTGGTGCTCTTGATAGCATATATGTGCTAGTTTGTCCTCCATCAGGGAATGTAGAGCCATTTATAGGTCAAAAATCAGAGCCAACTATGTAAGTGCTTGATATATGTTATTTCAGTATGAAATTCATATATGCTTATGTTGGAGTTCCTGAGAGAGCACATGAACAAATGTGCTAAACAAGAAGCTTCTTTTTCACATCCTCCACCTGGAAAGGGTTACTTAATTGATTCAGGTTATCCCACTAAAACTGGTTATCTAGGTCCACATCGCAAAACTAGATATCATCTAGATCAGTTCAACATAGGACCACCAACAAACAGTAGAGAGTTGTTCAACCGCAAGCATTCTGGTTTGAGGTCGAAGATTGAGTGCACATTTGGTGTATGGAAAGCTAAATGGCGGATTCTGGAGAGGAAACACCCTAAGTATAAGCTTAAGAAATGGATAAAGATTGTGACAGCAACAATGGCTTCACAACTTTATCAGAGATTCAAGGTAAAAGGATAGAGACTTTGAATATTGGGAAAATGTGGAGTCACATAAACAGCATGGTGATGAAAATGTTGGACATGTTCCATACTTACCATCAGGTGATAGAGTTATGAAGGCAAAAAGTGATGCCATTACCTTAGAGATATCAAAAGAAACTAGACTTCTATATTGACAAGTATGTGAATATAGAAGGGAGGGTTGGTGGTTTAAGGATTATGTTTTTCTAAAAAAACTCTGTTTTGTATCTTTATAAACATAATATGATATGTTTTTTTTTTTCAATTTAATATTATGTTTTGTATGATGAAACTATAATTCAAGAAGAAGATATTATAGTTTGCTTCACCAATGAGAAAATATTTGTTTTGAATATCTTTATTGGGTATGAATCAACCACTAAATTAATTGTTTTTTAATCAATTGTTATAAAACTTTTTTATAAACAAAACTTTTAATTTCATGAAAAGAAAAATTTTCAAATGTTTAAAATAATCATCTGAAAATTATTTAGTTGTAAAACATTATTTATATTAAAAATTAATAATAATATAGTTAATATTACACTGAAAATATGATTAGATGAAAACATGAATATTTTAGCCTTTTTTAATGGTGTGAAATGATCAAACAAACAAAACTTCATTCAGATGGATCAGCTAAATAAATCAGTTGAATGAATCATAAAATTTTATTAATAAAACGAACATCATTCGGATGGATCTACATGCACCAAATTGAAAACCTCATGTAACCTTGTTTACATTAATTTGCATATTAATAATAAATTACATTTATCGGGACTCGAACTCTAGATCTCTGCATTAATATTAAATTTTAAGTTTATGTTGTAATTTTATAAGTAGATTCGATAAAATCTTAAATGTATTAGTAACCGGTAACCCTAACAAAACTAATGAGACTGATCGGTTTTCTTTGGTTTTAAAATGAACCGAATCCAACATCTTCACAAAATGGCTTAAGTTGAAATGTTAACTGAGCAGTTCATTTTCTCTGCCATTGGCTTTGTTTGATTTAAATCAGAACATAATTTGATTTTTTTTGTAAATAAACCATTACACAAGAGATTATCTTCAGATTGTTTTGCAATTCAAAAGAGAGAAATTTCTTGTCTCAAGATTTAAGAGGAAGGAACAAGAACGGTTTGCATCATGTTCTTGAACTCGAAAAAGTCAACGCGACCATCGTGATTGATATCAACAGAGACAATCATCTTCTCCACTTGTTCGATCTCTCCCGCTTCAGGAAGCCCAAGTTTCTTCAAAACATTTTGCAACTCCACGGCGGAGATAAACCCGTCACCGTCTTCGTCGAACACGTTGAAAGCTTCTTCGAGATCTGATTCCGGAGATCCATCGCACTCGCAGCCTACTCCGAAGAAAGATTCGTCCAAGGTTCTGTGGAGTGCTGCGAAATCGTCGAACCGGAGTCCGGTTTGTTCCGGTTTGATGAATGATTCGACTGTTGATTCGAGCTCGGAGAAATCAACGTCGAGACCGAGTCGTGAAAGGGCTTGACTCAGTTCTTCGACGGTGATGAATCCGTCTCTGTTTTTGTCAAAAAGGTCGAAGATTCTGTGGAGACGAAGAGCGTTTAGACTCGGGCTCCTTAGTCTGAAGGAAGAAAATTGTCTCGAGAGTTTCTTCTTCTCGTTAGTGATGATCTCCATTGTTACTTTTTTCTTTCTTCTTCTTCTTCTTGATACTTGCTCTTTATATAATCGGAGACTGAAGAATCACGCGGCTGAGACTGAAGAATCACGAGGCGGAGACTAAATTACTCTGTTTTTATATAATTAAAGACTTTGAATCACGAGGCGGAAGACTATTTTATAAATCGTCCAATCAGAATTAACACATCATTTTCAGAAAATAAAAACAATCTAAATGATAATTTTAAAAAAAAATCTACAACTTGCAAAAAATAAAAAATAGATCGACCCAAAAATTTTAATTTTTGAATTGCTGATATCCAGTTAAAATATCTGAATTTTTAGTTATCCGATTAGTTGGAGTAAAAAAAATTTGTATTTGTGATCCCTTTAGGTATCTGATTAGTTGAACTAAAACGAACATTTAAACCAAATCTATGTATATTTTTCATTTTGGTTGTTTTTGTGATCTTTTTAACTTTGTTTAGATAGAAAATGTTGATCCAAAAAGCTAAAAGGATCACAAATACAACAGTCATCCAAAATATTCCTTTCATGCCCACACCTTATAATATCTTACATTAGATTTGGGCACTGAAATGATGGAGTAATTACACAGAAAAAGAGATTAAGGAATATATAATTTTTAGGCAGTGTTGACCGTTGACGATTTACAAGTCATAGTATAAGGCACATTATGGTTGGTGTGATATGTTTCACGTTGGTAACGTTCCCATTGGTTCCATCGTGTTCTTCTTTGTTTTAAAATTGAACAGAAAAGACATGTTACTAATGTCAGAGACTCAGAGTTATGGTTAATAAGCTTGATTATAACCAGCAAACAAGTATGGTTTGACTTTGACCCGTTAACATTCGAGAGCGAGTCGGGTTGAATTTGGATAGTCCGAGACTTGGATTTAAATTACAAACCCACGAAACCTTAAAAAGCCCAATAACAAAAAAATGTCACTTTCCTTTTACAGCCCATTTGTTTCCACTGGCCACTTCCATTGCAACCACCAAAACCACATCTCGCCGCCGTCGACGACGACGACGACGTCTGCTTTGTCACCGTCACTGAATCGTCGGAGAAAAGAGAGAAGAAGCGTTTTAACTCGCTCGTTGGATCTGATGGATGTTTGTGGCGTTGATTCCGAAGGGAAGGAGTTTAATAGCGCTCAAGAGATGTGGAGGGAAGAAATTGGAGAAGAAGGAGATGAAACGAAGAAAACTCAATGGTATCGAGACGGAGTTTCTTATTGGGAAGTAAGTTTCCTTTTCTTTGATTAATTTCGATTTTCTGGTCTCAAATCTTAATATTTTTTTGTTCCAAGTAAAGATTCAACACTAAACACGTTTAGTGAGGATTTCTAAAACTCGAAATTGGGTTTTGTATGTGTGTTTATGTTCTTGATTTAAGGGTGTTGAAGCTTCTGTTGATGGAGTATTAGGAGGATATGGTCATGTGAATGATGCTGATATTTTAGGAAGTGAGGTTTTTCTCAAGACTCTTATGCAAGAAAGATTAGTAAATGTAAATGGAGGAACAAATCAGCATCTAGTGGCTCTTGGTAACTCTCCTCTCATTGCTGTTCACTGTTTTTTTTTAATGTTTATTACTTTTGTTTTTCTTACAAATCACACAAACCATTTGCAGATTGTGGATCTGGCATTGGAAGGATCACCAAGAATCTTCTAATACGATACTTTAACGAGGTGAGTGTTTTCTGTGATTCTATAACTTAGATTATGTTCTTCTCTGTTTTATGTCATAATTTGTGATGAACCCTTTTCTTGATCCACAGGTTGATCTTCTTGAGCCTGTAGCACAATTCCTAGATGCAGCGCGTGAAAACTTGGCATCTGCGGGATCAGAAACGCACAAAGCAACTAACTTCTTCTGTGTCCCGCTTCAGGTATAGTTCCTGAAGTGTGTTTTCTGCTTTCTTTAGCTTATCTTTGTTTTCAATTCTCCTTCACCTTTGCTTTGTGGTTTATATGATCATAGGAGTTTACTCCAGCTGCTGGAAGGTATGATGTTATATGGGTTCAATGGTGCATTGGGCATCTCACTGACGATGACTTTGTTTCTTTCTTCAACCGAGCAAAGGTAAAGATGATTACTTTTGCTTCTTTCTTCAACTGATCAAGAAAGAAGAAAATTCGCTGCATAATTTGATGAGATGTTCTTCTTGCTTGATCATAGGGCTGCCTTAAACCTGGTGGGTTTTTTGTTGTGAAAGAGAATCTCTGTAAAAACGGTCTCTTTCGCTCTCTCTTCTACATTCCTATGAAATTTATCTCTGATGCAAAATTTCATATATTAATGTTTTTGGGTGCGCAGGGTTTGTCTTGGATAAAGAGGATCGTAGCATCACCAGATCGGATCCGTATTTCAAACAGCTCTTTCGTCGGTGTGGGTTACATCTCTATCAAACAAAGGTCGAGTTCTTGTCTGTATTTTTATCTTGAGACCGTATCTAAGAACTGATAATTTAGACATTTACAGTCTTTTTCTTGAACTCATCTTCCAGGATCAAAAGGGTCTTCCGCAAGAGTTATTTGCTGTAAAAATGTATGCTTTAACGATTGATACACCACCCAAAGTCCACAGAACCAGATCAAAGACTCGTAGCAACAGACCACAGATTATCAAATGACATGCTTCTGTTTGGTTTTTGTGGAGTCTTCAATCTTTTTGATTGAAGAGAGAAGCTACCAAATGTGTTGTGAGATCTGGTTCAAGGCTTCATTGCTTCAAGGATGGGTTCACAGTTAATCGTCTGATCATTTGTCCGAACTTACACATGAGTTAGAGGATACACTTCAAATGGTGGTTTGTAATTTGAATCTTTGTTGCTTTCAAGAATCATATTTACAGTTGATGAGCCTTTTGTTGAGTTGTTGCATTCGTCTCGAAATTTGAAACATAAGATAAGACATCACATATTAAATTAAAGCTTATTGGTTGCCCATTTGATAAGTAAGACAATAAATTGTAAAAATAAACTTGTACAATCATGTCTGTTTTAATAATATAAAGTTAATAATCATGATACTAACACACATTTAAATTATATGGTTATAGTTTAGTGGGTGAATTAAAAATAATACAAGGAAGCTCTTGCATTCGTGGCCTTGCCCGTATCCATTTGATTTATAGTCACAAGAATGTAAAACATATGGTGTTGAGCCACAAAAATTAATATAAAACATATCACCACGTGTTTTGGTAATATGTAGATGGTTATCACGATGATATACATTTTTTTCAGAGAACATTTTATAAACAAAATCCATACCTACCGAGTTTGTTTTCTTTTCTTTTGCAATTATACATACCATACCTATTACAATTTTTTTAATAATAATGTTTGGACAAATTTTAACCGATCTAAATCGAAATAGTGATGTAAATTCGTGATGACATTGAAGACGGACCATGAGCCAACGAATTAAATCAATGTCGAAAGCAAAAACAAGGCCTACATAAAGAGACAGGACCACCAAGCATGACATGATAAAAAAAAAAGCATGTTGTAACATCCAACTCCAACCGTACGGCAAATTATTGTTTTTTTAAACAGTTCAACTTTAATTAATAATTTTGAAATAAATTCTTTCATTAGTTGGGTAAATCAGTACTTGGCATTCACCATGTTATTAAAAAAAGTTTTGAAGTAAAAGAAAAAATCAATTGTCAGAAATCTCTGAAATCAATCATGTTCTTTAATAATAGAGTACATCATTATTGTAGCTTGTTGCTTAAAACGTGATCTTTTTTTTTGTTCTTTTTTTGTGGTCAAAATCGGCTTTATTTAAGAAGATGATAGAGGCAAGGCAAAAACACTATCCGGCTATGCCTGACTATAACCTTGTAGCCTAAACCCACTTCAGAAACATCTTATCTATATCCTCAAATTCCTCAGTCTCTGCATCAAAAAATGGAGTTTGTGAGCTTTTTGCTTTCTCTCTTTACACATTTTCTTCTGTTGAATCTTTCTCTTGCTCGTTTTGCTTCAATTCCAGCTCATCGGACTAACCACGACGACTTTCTGAGCTGTCTCTCTCGCCGGGTAAACAACTTCACCGGCGAATCTAGAATCATACACACCTCTAGTGACTCTTCCTTTTTCTCAATCTTGAATTCTTCCATACAAAATCCAAGATTCTCGGTTCTTGAAACACCTAAACCGGTCTCAATCATCACTCCGGTTCAAGCCACCGATGTTCAATCCACGATTAAATGCGCACGGCTTCACGATATCCACGTCAGGACTCGGAGTGGTGGTCATGACTACGAGGGCTTCTCGTACATAGCCAAAAGCAGACCGTTCGTTGTCATTGATTTGAGAAATCTCCGGTCTATTACATTAGATGTTGAGAACCAGACCGGTTGGGTTCAAACCGGAGCTACACTTGGGGAATTGTACTACGAGATTGGGAAATTGAGCAAATCATTGGCTTTTCCGGCCGGTCTTTACCCAACCGTTGGCGTCGGAGGACAATTCGGAGGTGGAGGGTACGGTACACTGATGAGAAAATACGGTTTATCAGCAGATAATGTAATTGGCGCTCATATAGTCGATGCAAGCGGAAGGTTTCTTGATCGACAAGGCATGGGTGAGGATTTCTTTTGGGCTATCCGTGGAGGTGGTGGTTCAAGTTTCTGCGTAGTTTTAGCATGGAAGATTAGATTGGTCAGTGTACCATCTCTAGTAACGGTCTTTGACGTCACGAAAACATCGGAGAACAAGGCTATCCAAATCATCAACAAGTGGCAGTATATTGCGGATAAGGTACCTAATGATCTTTTCATTAGAGCTATGTTACAAAGATCAAACAAAACCACGGTTTATGCTTCATTCCCGGGACTTTATCTTGGTCCGGTAAGCGATCTATTGGCGATGATGGATGATAAGTTTCCGGAATTAGGTCTTGAGATTGGAGATTGTAGAGAGATAAGTTGGATTGAGTCTGTTCTCTGGTTTATCAAAGGAGAATCAATGGACACTCTTAGGCAACGGAAACGTACATCTAGATCTTTCAAGGGAAAAGATGATTTTATCCAAAAACCACTACCTAAAACCGCAATTCGAGAGCTTTGGAGACGATTATACGCACCTGAGGCTCGGCTGGCAAAGATCATACTCACTCCATTTGGTGGCAAAATGAGTGAAATTGCTGATTATGAAATACCATTTCCACATCGAGAAGGGAACCTTTATGAGATTCAGTATTTGGCTTATTGGAATGAAGTAGAAGATAAGAACAAGATTGATACAGAGAAGTATTTGAGATGGGTCAAGAGATTATACAATTTTATGACTCCTTATGTTTCCATGTCACCAAGAGGAGCTTATGTTAATTTTAGAGATATTGATTTGGGGACTTATAGTCATGGGATAAATATGAAGACAAAGTACGAAGAAGGAAAGATTTGGGGAGTGAAGTATTTCAAGAACAACTTTGATAGATTGGTGAGAGTGAAGACGAGTATTGATCCAATGGATTTCTTCTGTGATGAACAGAGTATTCCAATTCTGAAATCTGTTGATGATATATAAAAATAATTTAAATTTATTTTATTTCAAATAATCTGTGAGTTTTTTCTTGAGAACCTAATTAATTTGAAGTAAAAAAACACTAATGTCACATTTTAGTATAGTATATATCTTAGTTATATATATATGAAAAAAATTACATAATTATTAATGTATAATATATTGGAATTGTATATTTACGTAGGTTTTTCTAAAAAAAGTAAGTACCTATTATTTTATTACATTTTATTATTTTGTATAGTTTGAAGAAGCATAATTTATTATTTTACTATGGTTATCAATTTATTGAGATTTTAGTGTAGTTCCCAATTAGATGGGAGTGGGATTAATTTTATTTTCGTTTAGAAAATGAAAGTAATGTTTATAAAATGAAAGTCATATAAATAAATGGAAATAATTGACATGTCCCACACTCCCAGCTATAAAAAAGTTTCTGGCGACTAAAATAAATATGCGCCACGAGAGCCTAAACGGCATTTACTGAAATATGTATATTGAGTTACTTTGGTGGTGTCAAATCCAGAGCCTAAGCGGCATTTACTTCAAAAGAGACTAATTATCAGCATTGTTTTTTTCTTACAGAATTTGGCCATAAAGTTTCTGGCCGATTTGCTAGAGGAAGAGAGGTTACGAAGGAAAAATTCGTTAGCCAAATTCTAGTAATGTGGACTAAGCAGTCTGCTTGAGACTACAAAAAAAGAAGAAGCAAGAATGGGGGAGTGAGCCTGGAGTAGACCAAATTTGTGAAAAAGGGTAGGATCTGTTTTCTTGTATATGAATTTTTATTTAGAGGTGGGTACGGATTCAGTATCCAAATTTTTTTTGATATTCCGATTTGGTTTAGAAATAATTAAAATAGTAATATATAAATATGAAAAATAAGATGACAAAGAAAGAATTAATTTGTATTTATGCGTTTGTTTAGTTTGTCAAGATCAGTGTTTCAGTTTGATACACTTATAATTAGTTTTCTTTCTAAAAAAAAAAAAAATATATATATATATATAATATAGGGACACTGAAAAAAGGACTAGTTAATCATTTAAATTTTTAATACCTTAAAAACTAATACATATTTTCAAAAAATTTTAAATTCACATTTACGAAGAATATTTTCATAAAGTGTTAGAACTTAAAATAAAAAATAAAATTTTAAATATATTACATAAACCAGCCAGTCAACTATTGCCAGTCCAAATGACTTCAAGGACTAACATTAACCTTGCTTTTGTAGTTACTATAAGACTATCTATAATAGTGGAAATACTCAACACTTTTTTTTTTTTTCATTTTAACACTCCACATCATCTTCTCTTTCTTCCACTTAATAATTCAACATTCATTCAACTTTATACTCTATAATATTTTTGTTTAATAAAATTCAATACTTTACTCCATTACTTTTATTTTATATTTTTATGTTTTTATTTTTTATTTAATATTAATTGTTAGGATTTGGGTAATCAAAATGATAGTTATTAGAATTTTGGGTGTTAAAAGGATTATTATGATTCATTTCAGTAAATAAAAGATATAACAAGAGTTTATTAGAGGCTAATAGGAAAAATATAGTAAAAAGATGATTTTTTTTTATCCAAATCAAATGAACTAAATTTCTATTTATAGAGTATGAAAAATGATGAATTTTGATAATAATATTTTTTTTTAAAAAAACATTTACGATCAAATAATTGATATCGAATAATCTGGATAAGATAATAAAGTGTAAAATCTTATTCTTGATTCTTGATTCTTAACAACTAATAACAACACAGCAAATGTCTTTATTCTTGATTTTATTCTACGCTATTTTTTTAACCAACATTTATATGCCACATGTTCCTAATTTTTTTCTTCTGCCCAAATCTTCAATTTTTTCCTACTTTTTTCGCTGAGTCAGCAACATTAACTAGTTAAATGGTTTCAACAAAATCCATGTCATTTACAACAATTGTTTCAATGGTTTCAACAAAATTGAACCCACAATATTTTCAACAATTGTTTCAACTCTCCATTACATTAATTAAATTATTCAACTAGCCATTGGAGATTGTTGAAAATGAATAAATATGAATAATTTTACTTTAACTAGAGTAAGGGCATTATAACCCAAATTACAAGACTATAGCAGTATAGCATCTGATGTTGTCATGATATATAAGTTCTTTCATTAACAAACAATTCATCAATTTCTCATAAAATAATATCTGATGCACTTGTAGATCCCTATATATAAGTTTTACCATCATTTTGTCTATTTGTTGGTTGATTTTCCATATTTCTGATCATCTTTAGCTATCTATGCCTCCAACTCCTCTCAACCTATGATAAAAACAAAAAAATCCTCTCAACCTTTCCATATCCTTAACATTAGGGATGGCCAATCCAAGATTTGGGTTGAATTTCTTACGTTTTGGATTGGGTTTAGAGTATTTAATTTAAGATTTATTTGACCAAATTTGATCTACATAGAATTTGGATTAAGTTTTTTAAGTTTTAGATCAAAATTGGGTTATTTGGATCATAAATAATTTGATCCAAAATAGACTTATATCTAATTTTATTTGGATTATTTAAATTTTATATTAGATTTAGTTATTGAATGTTTATAAAAATAATAACATATAAAATAAATTCTTAATGCCAATTGCAATAATTTTTTTTATATAAAATCTAGAAATAAAACAAAATCATTACCTGATATTGTAAATATAAAATCAAGAAATGAAACAAACACATTACTATATGTCAAAGGTGAACGTTATTTGAGTTTTTTTGAATATATTTAATGACCAATCCAAATAACCCAAACCCAAATTAGTAAAATTTATTAGACTTAAATAAGTTTTTATAAAAACCTATATCCAAACTAAATGAGTTTAGTTGGATTAGATTAAGTTGGGTCAGGTGGATTACTTAGATTGGCCACCCCTACTTAACATACTTATGGCAGATGCTGTAAAAAAATTCCCAGTTTTATCTTCTTTTAACATATGATTTATGAGTAATTGATCGATTAAACCAAACATTATATAACGTATTATATATTTTTTTAATTATGTATTATTTCCATCCAACATTTTTCTGATGGAAAAATAATCCACCTGATATTGAAAAAAGCTATACTCCCTCCATTTTAAAATATAAATCATCTTAGTTTGATATTTTGTTTTGAAATATACACTTTTTACATTTTTCAATGCAAATATTTAAGAAAACTTCTACTGCTATCCTTATTCTTACAGCTAATTAATTAGTATGAAAAAATATATAATATATTAGTAAGAGGTAAAATAGAATATTAAACTGTTTTTTAATATGTGTAAAAAAATAAAACAGAGGGAGTAATTTTTTTAATTTTCAGGTCCAATTTTGCTTTCTTATTTAGATATGGGAAACTAGGTGTGGTAGCAACAATCCAAAAGCAAATTAGCTTGATAAAATAACATTATTTTATTGATGAGAAAATACCTCTTATCCCCTCATCACAACAACACGGTAACATATTTTTTGAACGTTAACCAAGACGTTTTATACTTGCTTCTTTTTCTCTGACAAACAGCGTTTTCTCTTTCTTACTTTTTTCAAATTTCGAATTACAAACCCATTTCAACACAGAAGCTTTACTTTTCTTCTCACATTATCGGTTCAAACATTTCTTCTCTCTCATCATTTTTCCCCTTTCTCTGTTTCACATTTTTCCGGCGAGGCAGAGATATTCTTCCGGCGAACCAGAGTCATTTTTTCAGGCGAAGCGGACCATGGGCCCGAATCATTTGCTTCGACGATGATTTGTGGAAGGCAATCTGTCGATTTTCACTTGGATTTAGTTATTTTGCACTTCAATTTTCGCTTTTCGTTTTTTTGCTTTGACAATGAATAGTTGATACCGTCATTGTGCTCCACTGTGTCTTTTTTTCTAGATCTACAATTCTCAGGTTATCCCTTCTTATTTTCGTAGATCCACTATTTCCCGTAGGTTTCGTTCCATCGTTTTCTGCTGCACATTTAGGGAACCCGCACATTTACAGGCTTCTTTAATTCTGAAACCATTTTAGGTTAATAGGCGTCTATTAGTAGTTGACTATATTTTCTTGTTTTTGTCTTCAGTGATATGCGTAATCTCCGACTATCCGAGCCGGACCCCTTTACAAATGAATTGTTTCCTCAGATCCGCGATGCACTGGTTGATATTTTTGAAAGAGTTGCTAGGGAGTCTGCAAAAAACGCTTGCTTGTTTGCTTGTTCATGTAAGTTCCTCAACAAAACTTTCAAGGAACCATCTGTCATTAGGGTTCTAAACCTTAGTGCCTTCGTCCAAAAACCCAGTTTGATGAAGCAGTACCCTATGTTTCTTGAGGCGGCGATTAGTTCCGGTAATCCGACATCATTGTACCTCCGCAGCATGACCAAGATTACAGTTGATAACGATATCGAGGGTTCCGTTACATTTTTTAGCAAAGCGTCTAAAGCTGGAGTCGATACTGCGACTTTAATGCTTGCAATTTGCGGCACTGCATATGGTCTGTATGAGAGAGGGCTGGTAATCCTTGACCGTATAGTTGGTTGGAAGTCACGAATGGAGTACATGGAAGGGATTGCAAATCAAGTGATGGATTTGATTGAAGCTTGCAAAGAGCCGACGGTGCACGTGATCTTTCCCAATCCTTTTTCCGAATTCCCCAAATGTGGTTTCAAGCATCAGATGATCTGTGAGCATTGCTACCTGTATGTTCATTACCAGCTGGCAAAGAGTGTTTTCAATCGATAGACGACTATGTTCGTCTTGCCTCATATTGATGTTGTAATGAAATACTAGTAGTCAGCTATTATGTTATTGTAGTTGTTATCTTGATATTATTAAGTTTATGTTATAGTTGAATACTGGTTTCGTGATTTCTGGGAAAAATCTTATTCTTATGGTTTCCCTTTTGAATTATTAACTCACTTTTAAATACATTTGTTATTATAGAATTAGAATGTTTTTGTGTCAACTGTTTTGGTAACCGTTAAAATTTTTTTTTGTAAATTAAAAAAAAAACTTCCATAAAGCCATCTTTA